TCAAAGAGGTACTTGTTAATCAAATAAATTTACTTATAATAAACAACTTATTTAAATTTGTATGGTTGGTTTTTACTCCACCTACTAATTTTAAGTGCCTTTAGAGTTTTGCTTCAAAGAGGTACTTGTTAATCAAATAAATTTACTTATAATAAACAACTTATTTAAATTCCACCTACTAATTTTAAGAGCTTGCTATAAGACCCTTCGAACCAATGGGTCTTCGGACCAAAGGTACGCACCCGGTGATTGCTGTAAAAACCCATTCACTGAGTAAATGAATTTGAGACCAAAACCAAGTTTTTACAGTCAGTGGACATGGGAATAGGAAAAAAATTGTAAATAGGGTCAAAGGTCAAATATGGCATTTCCGGTCATTTTTTTAAGCAAATCTCACATTAGAACAAATAGAAATATGCATGGTTCTAACAATTTTAAAAAGAAAGCAACTTGCTACGACCAGCGGTTCTCAGCACATGGGAACCCTATTTTTTCACTCCTAATTTGCATATTCAAGCTAATTTGCATATTAACCGAAATGTGACTGAGACGTAATTTTAGGAATTTAATTTAATCCTCTTGTCCTGTGTGCTTATCTAGAACAAAAATCCCTTCTTTTGCTATTTTCTTATACTGTCTAGCTCAATTCCAAAATACACCCACGCTATAAAAAGGGGCGTGGTCATTTAATTAAGGGCGTGGTCATTTTAGGGCTGTTCGTCCCGGATTGAGATTTTGGCACACATCCCATGTTATTCCTAGGGTTCATATTAGTCTATAGCAGTTGAGAAATTCTCTCCTAAATGAAGTGCATACAAATCTTAGTCAGGTCCTCTACTAATAAACATGATCAGAACATTTATGGTAAATACAAACGTATTAACAGACAAGGAAAAAAAAGGTAATGCGAAACTAATCTATTGACCATACTTATTCCATAAATCTTTATTTGATTCAAGCATTAATAATAAAAATTATATCAATATATATATCGCAACAAACAATAAAAAAAAACATATCTCAAACTCAGTCAACTTTGTAACATCTGCATTGTTTCTGTAAGATAGTATTAATAGAACAATAATAAACTTTAATACTAATAAAAACAATTGTTAATTAATTGTAACTATAATGTTACAGTAATTTAAATACGCTGTGGCTAGAGATACGGTACCGTATCGGACCTTCCGATTGCTAAAGGTACGGTAAATGATATTACGTCATGATTAGCCAATGGTACAAGGAATGCAACAAACTAGAAAATAACCTATAAATACCATAATATTAATTGAAATTTAGTTTAGTAATAATAGTATTAATTTTTTTGCTTTTATGTAGCCTTAGTAGAAAGACAACAAAGCATAAATAAAAAAAAGTATGATATTGCTTTTATGTAGCCTTAGTAGAAAGACAACAAAGCATAAATAAAAAAAAGTATGATAAACAGATTGATGAACTTACAATGATAATTAGGCCTAGTTGTATTTTAATTTAGCGTTTTCGCAACTCCATTGGCGCTCAATATATTTAATCTGTTGAAAACAAACCAAGACCGAAATTAAACGTGACCGAAGTGAGGCGCGACTGAAACGAAGCGCGACCGAAATTATCTGTATTCCCAAACCCACCCCCACTCGAGCCCAAGGCCAAGTGCCCTCGGATGTCGCTCCGCTAGAGAAAAGAGTGCGGGCGCCACCTGTCCCTAATAGCCTAGTAGTAGGCCTACTAGGTACGGTCCTGGCCTAGCCAAGCCTAGATAGCCTACCTATTAGACTAGCCTAGGCTAGGCCTAGCCTACTAGTTCTCCTATCCTAGGCACTACCCAACTTAATTCGCTGCACAACACCTTAATATAATTCATCAATACTACAACAAGAATGTAAATAATAAACTTTTGTTACTTGACTACCTTGTCAAGCTTTTGCTTTTGTTAAAAAAAGAAAACAAAAAGTAGGATCCCACTCACCTCTTCAAGCAAGGGAAAGCCCAGAACATGGCACTACCTCTGAATGTTTAAAAACAAATTGAAATGGCCGCCGCTGGAGAAAACGTACACAATGATACGGAGTCACTCATTGGATAGAATATCGCAATATTTAATTATCCTCCAATAGAAGATCGTGATCTTCCTCCTTCACTGGAAACGTAACTCTAGAGGGCGTTCAATAATTCATAAGGAATGCCCGTAATAATAATGATGATACCAATAATAATAATAATAATATTATTATTATTATTATTATTATTATTATTATTATTAT